CCTGGGGGGCTCCTCCTCTTTGCAACATGCCTGATAATAACCACATCCGTCAGACTCAGCCCCTCGGCCAGAGGGACTGCAAGAACACCACAGGGTCTCCGCCTCGTGTTCTCCCACGTTTTGGAGGACACTGGAATAGGGTCTGGAGCCCTGGAAACAGGCCCTGCTGACATGACTTTTTACCTCTTTATACTATTTGGCTCTAACACTTTGTCTGCAAAATCCATGTTTTCTGGAGCAAGCAGGTCACCACCTGCTGGTGGTTAAGATGCTGGACTCTCACATGGTTGATCCCGGTTCAAGTCCCAAACCTGGTGGTTAGAAAGTCACACCTGGCATGTGTACCTGGGCCCACAATCCCGAGAGGAGAATGGAGGAGATGGGACAGCGGCATGGCCATCTCCCCTGGGGGGTGACGTCTCACTTTCCCTTTCTCTTTCTTTCTCTATCTCTCTCCGGTGAGCACATGTGCCCTATGCAAAACAAAACAAAACAAAAATCAATAATTTCCACATCAGCCTCTTGCATAAGCTTTCATTTGAAGACAGGTTTGTAGCTTAAGAAAAAAAAAAGGTTAAAAACGGTGGTCGGTGGTCTAGATCACTGCAGACTTGGCTTCCCTCTTCCTGTACCTTTTCCATTTCAGAAAACTCACTTCCTTGGCTTCCCACTTGCCCTTTCCTCACCTCTGTGTTGACGGCTTTGAGGCTGATAAAGTGCAAACTGGAAAAGCATCTCCTGTGAAGGCACCAGGCCCGTCCTGGCCTTTTGCATTTAAAAAATGTAAATGCGCAAATCCCTGTGTTAGATATTCTCGGAGAAGGTACAGGATGGAACAGCAGAAACCACGTTGCCTGATCGCTGGGTCCGCCCGACCCGAGCGGGAACCTGGGCTCCTACTCACTGGCTGTAGGTACTTAGAAGGTCGCATGCTCTTGGGGACCAGCAGATGGCATAGTGGTTATGTTGCTGGACTCCCACATGGGCAACCAAAGTTTGAGTCCTGAACCTGGTGGCTTCAGAATAACACTGGGTGTGTGTGCAAGTGTGCCCAAGGTCCTGGGAGGAGCATGGAGAAGGGATTGTGAATGCATGCACTCTAAGGCGAAAACCTCTTTAAAAAGAAAGAAAGAAAGAAAGAAAGCAAGCAAGCAAGCAAGCAAGCACACAGTCTCACCGGGTTGCCAGGCTGTTGTGGGAGAGAGAACAAGAAAGTCCACAAAGCACATGTAAGCCCTCTGTAAATGGAAGCGCTTACTTTTTCTTCTTTTGTAGAGAGATTTTTACTATAAGGCACATGTACTCACCAGAGCGACGGAGACAGAAAAGGAGAAATCACCCCCTGGGGGGATGGCCACGCCACAATCCCTTCTCTTCTGTTCCTTTTGGGATTTCAGGCACACATGCACACGCACCTGGCGAGTTTTAAGCTGTCAGTTCCAGTACTCAAATCGCGTTGAGCTACGTGGGAGTTCAGTGACATAACCATAGCGCCACCTGCTGGTCCCAGGGAAGCTCTTACTAATGGCGTGGAATATAGTTGTACTGCTATGACTGTTTCTTGCAAGTGGCAGAAAAAACACCTCGAGTTGGATTAAGCAAAAACAGGGAAAGTCATCTTAGTGGGCGGGAAAGTCTGCTGGCTCACGAGATGGCCCAGGCACCCAGACCTCTCCAGTCACAGTATAGGTGCCATCCTAGGGCCCAGACATGTCATCCTTTGAGCCAGCAGATGTCGTGGTGGCTCTGGCCTTGCCAAGGGGGAACAAGGGAGATTGCTGGCTCCATAGTGCAAGCACTAGTGTGCCCAGCCGAGAGGTCTAGCTTTGGTTGTGTGAATTCCCGGAACCAATCACTGACTGGCTCACACCTGCATCACCTGCTCTGTCTACCCTGGAGCTGGGGCAGGACCCCACATCCTCGACCCTGTCTCCACTGACTAAAGCTGGGACTGACCTAAAGTCACGAGGATCTACCATATCCCATGTGACATGATGCATTTATGTAATCCCTGTAAGCTCAGTTTCCTCATCTGCACTACTGTATGAGTTCATTGTGAGGATTAAGATGATGTACTACCACCATCTTTGTCACCATCGCCACCAACACCAACGTCATTCCCACCACAGCCGTCATCACCAAGCCCACACGCCCCCAGTCATCATCACCATTACTGCCCTAGCGTCATTATCCTCACCACCACCACCATCAGTGACCGTCATTCTCCACTACCACCATCCCCGTTACCATTACCTCACCACTGACGCCACCCACCCCACCATCATCAGCATCACCACACCTCCACCATCACCATCAATAAAGATCGCAAAACCAGGGTGTAGCTGAACCCTTGTGGAACCCAGTCTTGCCGGCCGCCCAAGCCCATTCACTGTTTCTTCTGTCCCCATCCCTTCCACACGCAATTCTCATCACCATTCTGTACTAGCTCCCTGTCTCTCCTGGCCTTGTGGAAAGCCTACTGAGAAAATGGTTCTCAGAATATTAACTGGGGCAAAGGAGTCATAGAACGTGAGCCAGGCCCTATTTATTAACTTTCTACATGTCAGTGATGGCATCAGATCAGTCAGTGTGCTTGGCCCCTTGACATGAGGTCAAGATTCTCCTGCTCTTCCTTTCATGTCTCCAGACTTTCCCTGACTTGGCGATCCACAACAAGAGTAAGGGTGAGCTCAGGGCTCGTGTGGGCCAGCTGCCCATCAGCAATCCCTGGGAGCGTGTGGGAATCCTGCTGCCCAGGACTGTCCCTTGTTCCTCCTCCTCCTGGCCCCATCAGGGCTTCTGGCCTGAGTCACATTTGGCCTCTCCACCCTCAGGAAT